CCATCCCCCCCCAGCCGCCGGTGCCTTCCCCCCCCCGGGGGCTCTTTGTACACAGAAAATCCCAATTTTGGGGTCTTTTTTTTGGCAAATAAATCTCTTTTTGTAGCAAATCCCGGCCCTGTCACCCCCAGATCGGGGTCAGGGACAGCGGGGCGGCGTCCCCATGGTGTCCCTGAACATTTTGGGGGGGATTTGGGGGCTGCCCCCCCCAATCTGCCACCCCAGAGTCCTCTCTTAATTAAATAATTATTACAAAGGGTGGAGTTTAAATTCATTTTATTTTTAAGCCTTTCTCCAAAAATTGGGGGATCCTTACCCCCCCTCGCTTTGCCTTCAGCTCCGAGCTCAAACCCGAGGGAAAAGAGGGGAAAAAATGGGAAAAATTCCTTAAATTTGTGCAAAAAACCCCAATTTCACCCGCCCCCGCCCCAAGCCAGAAACTGGGTTTAAAATCCTGGAAATTGGGGCTGAAAATGTCCAAACTGGAACAGAGCAGGGGTGGAAATCCCCAAAAAATGTGACTGAAAGAGGGAAATGGGAATGAAAATCCTGCAGATGGGGCTGGAGGCCTGGAAATGGGAAAAAAATTCAGTTTTTTTGGGGCTGGAGGCCTGGACATGGGATTAAATTCAGGTTTTTGGGGTTGGGAGCCTGGAAATGGGATTAAATTCAGATTTTTGGGGCTGAACCCAAAACCTGGGCACTGAACTCCAAATTGGGATCAGAATTCCACGCTGGGCCCCAAACACAGAAATTGGGCTGAAAATCCTGGAAATTGGGACCAAAACTCCACAATTCTGGACTGAAATTGGGCCTAAAATCTTGATTTTTTTTTTTTTTTCTGACATCCAAACTGGGCTGAAACCCCTCCAATTTTATGGAAATCCCAAAATTTGACCGGGAAATGAAAAACCTGGGTGTAAAATCCTGGAAACTGGGAAGGGAACCCAAGGGTTCGGGCTGAAATCCTGGAATTTTGGGCTGAAATCCTGATTTATTGAGGGGGCTGAAATGATGGGATTTTTGGGCAATATCCTGGAATTTCAAGCCAACCTCCCCCACCCCTCATTCCTCCCAAATTCCCCCGATTTTCCCCTGATTTTGCCCCGATTTTCCCCCGAATTCCTCCAATTTTCCCCCAAATTCCCCCGATTCTCCCCCGAATTCTTCCAATTTTTCCCCAAATTACCCCAAATTCCCCTGATTTTCCCCTGAATTCCTGCAATTTTACCCTAAATTCCCTCGATTTTCTGCCAAATTCCCCCAATTTTCCCCTGAATTCCTCCAATTTTCCCCCAAATTTCCCCGATTTTACCCCAAACTCCTCCAATTTACCCGCAATTTACCCCGAATTTCCCCCGATTTTCCCCGAATCCCTCTGATTTTCCCCCAATTGTTCAGATTTTCCCCGAATTCCCCCGATTTTACCCCAAATTCCTCCGATTTCCCCCCGAATTCCCCCGATTTTACCCCAAACTCCTCCAATTTACCCGCAATTTACCCCGAATTTCCCCGAATTCCTCTGATTTTCCCCCAATTGCTCAGATTTTCCCCGAATTCCTCCGATTTTACCCCAAATTCCTCCGATTTCCCCCCGAATTCCCCCGATTTTCCCCGAATTCCTCCGATTTTACCCCAAATTCCCCCGATTTCCCCCCAAATTCCCCTGATTTTACCCCAAATTCCCCCGATTTTTCCCCAAATTTCCCTGATTTCCCCCAAATTCCTCTGATTTTACCCCAAATTTCACTGATTTTCCCCCAATTGCTCAGATTTCCCCTGAATTCCTCCGATTTTTCCTCAAATTCCCCCAATTTTTCCCCAAATTCCCCCGATTTTTCCCCAAGTTTCCCCCAAATTCCCCCGATTGGATTTTGGGGAGGGGGGATTGAAAGGGGAAAATGTGGGGAGGGGGGAGCAGCTGGGAACGGTCAAAGCCAACGAAAACACCCCGAAATTCTGAATACAAAACCCCCCAAAAACCAGGATCAACCCCCCCTCCTCTGCCCCGGGGGGGATTTTGGGGGGTCCAACCCCCCCCCAAGGATAAGTGCTCATTGAATTTGGGGAGGGGGCTGCAGAGGGGAGGGGCCCCAATCCAGGGTGGGTTGGGGGCTCCCCTGAAATTTACAGGTGGGGCCCCCCCGGTTTTGGGGTGGGGCCCCCCCGGTTTTGGGGTGGGGTCTCCTCTCTGGGGCCGGGGTCTCCCCTCTGGGGCCGGGGTCTCCCCCCCCTGGTCTGGGGGGATTTGGGGGGAATTGCACGAGAGGAGCGGGAACGGGGGAAAAGGGGAAAAATTCACCAAAATTCACCAAAATTCACCGAAATTCACCGAAAGCGTCAAAAAATGGGGAGAGGGAGGAAGAGGAGGGGAAGAGGAAGAGGAAGAGGAAGAGGAAGAGGAAGAGGAAGAGGAAGAGGAAGAGGAAGAGGAAGAGGAAGAGGAAGAGGAAGAGGAAGAGGAAGAGGAAGAGGAAGAGGAGGAAGAAAAATATGAAGAGGAAATGAGAGGAACAGGAAGAGGAGGAGAGGAAGAGGAAAAGAAGAGGAAGATGAGAGGAAGAGGAAGAGGAAGAGAAGAAGAGGAGAGGAAGAGGAAGATGAGAGGAAGAGGAGGCAGGGGAAGGCGGGGAAGGCTGAAGTGCAAATCGAGTTTTCTCGCGGCTCATTTTCTTGCTTTGGGTTGTCCTCGACGCCCCCAGGGGACACCGAGACCCCCCCAGTGGCACCCCCGGGGACAGAGGGGACAGCACAGCCCCCCCCCCCGTGGTGCCACCCCCAACAAACCCCGGGGGGCACAGACCCCTCCGCTGTCCCTGGGGGGGCCACCATGGGTGCCACCATGGGGGACAGCGGGGACAGCGAGGGGCGAGGGCGGCTCCGGAGCATGCAGGGGGTGGGACACGAGGGGGGACAGCTGGGGACAGCTGGGGACAGGTGGGGACAGCTCTGGGGACAGCTCGGGGACACCTCTGGGGACACTCACCCGCCCTGGCCGCGCCTTCGCTCCGCCGGCCGCTCCGGAGCCACCGCGGGGACACCCCTGGGGGGGGGGACACTGAGGGGACCCCGAGGGGGTCCTGGGGCAGCGCCTGTCACCCCTGGGGACAGCGGGGTGGCACCTGCGGGGTCCTCCCGGGGGAGGTGACACCCCTGGGTGCGCGGCCAGGGGGAGGTGACACCCCCAGGACACCCCCAGGAGCAGGGCAAGGGGGAGGTGACACCCCCAGGACACCCCTGGGTGCACGGCAAGGGGGAGGTGACACCCCCGGAGCGGGGCCAGGGGGAGGTGACACCCCCAGAATCAGCTCCCAAAGGGATTTGTCCCCCCTGGGATCAGGGAATCCCCCCGGGAGACGCCCCCAATCCCCCTGGGATCAGCACAGGCCGCCCCCACAATCTCCCCCCAAGGGAAGCGGGGAAGGCGCCCTTGCCAAAGTCTCTGGAAAAGGGAGAAAAAAGCTTTAACCATCCATGGAGCCAAGGGAGGGGGGCGAAAAGAAGGCAAAAAAGGGGCAAAAAACAACCCACAACACAAGGAGAAAGCGGCGGCGTTACAAAAGGAGCGGCGGGGCCGGGGCTGCTCCCGGCCTGGACAACCGGAGGAATCTCGGGCTGGGAACGGGGGCGGCTCGCCCTCTGAAATGTTTCTTTGTCTCTTTTGATTCTTTGCGTTTGTCTCGTGGGGCTGCGGGCTCTGCTCTCCCGGGGGCAGCCGGCGCTATTTCTGCCCGCTGATGGACTGCGATATGGAGCGGGGCGGGATCATATCCAGCAGGTACTCGCGCTGCCGGTCCGCCAGGCTCGACGCCTTGTGGCCCCCGATGCCGGCGTTCAGGTACGCGATGTTCACCCCTGCGGGGCGGCGGCCGCGTGGGGCACGGGGCCCACAGAGCCCAGGCCCCACCCCACCCCACGGCTCCCGCCCCATCCCGTACCTGGCATTCCCAGGAGCCCTCCGGCCACGGAGAGCTGCGGGGCCTGGGCGAAGTTGGAGAGCATGGAGCGGGCGGAGGTGGGAATGCCGCGCTGGAGGCTGCTCTGGGGCTGCGGGGCCTGGCCGGGCACGGGCACGGACACGGGCACGGACACGGACACGGACATGGACACAGACACGGACAAGGACATGCATTGGGATTGTTGGGAAGGGGGACAGAGGGCAGCCATTCCACCCCATCCTCATGGTCCCATCCCATGATCCCATCCCATGATTCCATCCTATTACCCCATGATCCTATCCCCTTATCCCATGATCCCATCCCATGGTCCCATCCCATTACCCCACAATCCCATCCCATGTTGCCATGGTCCCATCCCAATATCCCATGGTCCCATCCCATGATCCCATCTGATGACCCCATGGTCCCATCCCATGATCCCATCTCATGATCCCATGATCCCATGCCCTTATCCCATTATCCCAACCCATGATCCCATTATCCCATCCCATGGTCCCATCCCATTATCCCATCCCCTTATCCCATGATCCCATGCCCTTATCCCATTATCCCAACCCATGATCCCATTATCCCATCCCATGGTCCCATCCCATTATCCCATCCCCTTATCCCATGATCCCATGACTCCACAGTCCCATTACCCATCCCATGATCCCATCCCCATATCCCACGATCCCATCCCATGACCCCATTATCCCATCCCACGATCCCGTGACCCCACGATCCCGTGAGCCCAGGCCCCAGGGTCCCCGGGCCGTTCCCGCAGTCCCACCTGCCGGAGCGTGTGGTGCCGCAGGATCCCGTCCTGTTTGCCCACGCTGGGCACGGCGGGCGCGGCCGTGGGGGACAGCGCTGCCTGCTGCTGCAGCCGCTGCTCGATCTCCTGCGGGGGCAGCGTCAGCCCTCCCGTGGGAATGCCATCCCGCGGGAATGCCACCCCTCCATGGGAATGGCACCACATGGGAATGCCACCCCTTGGGAATGCCACCCCTCCCGTGGGAATGCCACCCCTCCATGGGAATGCCACCCCTTGGGAACGCCATCCCTTGGGAATGCCAACCCTCCCGTGGGAATGCCATCTCCTCCATGGGAATGCCATCTCCTCCATGGGAATGCCACCCCTCCATGGGAATGCCACCCCTCCCGTGGGAATGCCACCCCTCCATGGGAATGCCACCCCTCCATGGGAATGGCACCACATGGGAATGCCACCCCTTGGGAATGCCACCCCTCCCGTGGGAATGCCACCCCTCCATGGGAATGCCACCCCTCCATGGGAATGCCACCCCTCCCGTGGGAATGGCACCCCTCCATGGGAATGCCACCCCTTCCATGGGAATGGCACCCCTTGGGAACGCCACCCCTCCATGGGAATGCCACCCCTCCATGGGAATGCCACCCCTCCATGGGAATGCCACCCCTTCCCATGGGAACACTGTCCCTCGGGAATGCCACCCTACCCAACGCCCAAGGGAATGCCATCCCACTCAAATCCTCACACGGGCACGGACACGGGCACGGACACAGACATGGACACGGACATGGACAAGGACATGCATTGGGATTGTTGGGAAGGGGGACAGAGGGCAGCCATTCCACCCCATCCTCATGGTCCCATCCCATGATCCCATCCCATTACCCCACGATCCCATCCCATGTTGCCATGGTCCCATCCCAATATCCCATGGTCCCATCCCATGATCCCATCTCATGATCCCATGATCCCATGCCCTTATCCCATTATCCCAACCCATGATCCCATTATCCCATCCCAAGATCCCATCCCATGACCCCATTATCCCATCCCACGATCCCGTGACCCCACGATCCCGTGAGCCCAGGCCCCAGGGTCCCCGGGCCGTTCCCGCAGTCCCACCTGCCGGAGCGTGTGGTGCCGCAGGATCCCGTCCTGTTTGCCCACGCTGGGCACGGCGGGCGCGGCCGTGGGGGACAGCGCTGCCTGCTGCTGCAGCCGCTGCTCGATCTCCTGCGGGGGCAGCGTCAGCCCTCCCGTGGGAATGCCATCCCGCGGGAATGCCACCCCTCCATGGGAATGGCACCACATGGGAATGCCACCCCTTGGGAATGCCACCCCTCCCGTGGGAATGCCACCCCTCCATGGGAATGCCACCCCTCCATGGGAATGCCACCCCTCCATGGGAATGCCACCCCTCCATGGGAATGCCACCCCTTGGGAACGCCATCCCTTGGGAATGCCAACCCTCCCGTGGGAATGCCATCTCCTCCATGGGAATGCCATCTCCTCCATGGGAATGCCACCCCTCCATGGGAATGCCACCCCTCCATGGGAATGCCACCCCTTCCCATGGGAACACTGTCCCTCGGGAATGCCACCCTGCCCAACGCCCAAGGGAATGCCATCCCACTCAAATCCTCAGGACTGCCAACCTGGCTGGGATGGGATGAGTGGGATGGGACCAATGGGGTGGGATCAATGGGAACAATGGGATGGGATCAAAGGGAACAATGGGATGGAATAAATGGGATCAATGGGATGGGAATAATGGGATGGGATCAATGGGAAGGGATCAATGGGAACAATGGGATGGGATCAATGGCAAAAATGGGATGGAATAAATGGGATCAATGGGATGGGAATAATGGGATGGGATCAATGGGAAGGGATCAATGGGAACAATGGGAATGCCACCCCTCCATGGGAATGATGGCACCCCTTGGGAACGCCACCCCTCCATGGGAATGCCACCCCTCCATGGGAATGCCACCCCTCCATGGGAATGCCACCCCTCCATGGGAATGCCACCCCTTCCCATGGGAACACTGTCCCTCGGGAATGCCATACTGCTCAATCCCCACAGGAATGCCATCCCATTTAAATCCCCACAGGAATGCCACCCTGCCCAATGCCCAAGGGAATGCCATCCCACTCAAATCCTCAGGACTGCCAACCTGGCTGGGATGGGATGAGTGGGATGGGACCAATGGGGTGGGATCAATGGGAACAATGGGATGGGATCAAAGGGAACAATGGGATGGAATAAATGGGATCAATGGGATGGGAATAATGGGATGGGAACAATGGGAACAAATGGATCAATGGGAACAAATGGATCAATGGGAACAAATGGATCAATGGGAACAAATGGATCAATGGGAACAAATGGATCAATGGGAACAATGGGATGGGATCAATGGCAAAAATGGGATGGAATAAATGGGATCAATGGGATGGGAATAATGGATCCAATCCCATCCCATCCCATCCCATCCCATGGATCCCATCCCATGGATCCCATCCCATCCCATTGATCCCATCCATCCCATCCCATCGATGGCATGATCAGCATGGCACCGTTTCACCCCGGAACGCCCCAAATCGCGGTCGCAGCCCCGGCAATCCCTCCCCAGCTCCCTCTCCCCTGGGGCCGACGCCGGCAGTGACCTTGGCTGTCGATGACGCTCTGCACCACCTCCTCCAGCCCCACCATGTAGATGAACTCGCTGTTGGCGGCGCTGGGCAGGAAGTGCAGGAGCGGCGCCGGCGGCTTGGGCGGCGGGATCTCCAGGAGCGTCTTCTCCAGCTGCTTGCGCAGCGCCAGCTTGGCCGCCGCCTGCGAGTTGGCGGCGTCGGAGAGGGCGCTGGGGCTGGGGAGAGGGGACGACACGCGGGCCACCGAGCCCGGCTGCATGTGGGACGCGAGGTTCATGTAGATGGCGGAGGAGGACGAGCGCTGGCACGGCACCGAGGAGCCGGATTGCTGCGGGGGAGAGGGGATCAGCGGGAATGTGGGAGCAGCGGGAATGTGGGAGCAGTGGGAATGTGGGATTGGGGGGGGATTTGGGATCAGTTGGAATGTGGGATTGGGTGGGAATGTGGGACTGGGTGGGAATTTGGGATCAGGGTAGGAATTTGGGATCAGGTGGGAATTTGGGACCAGGTGGGAATTTGGGATCAGGGTGGGAATTTGGGATCAGGATGGGAATGTGAGACCAGGGTGGGAATTTGGGATCAGGCTGGAATTTGGGATTGCTGAGAGTGCCAGGCTCACAGACCCCCGGAGCGGGACACAGGGGCTGGGGAGTCCTGGGAATGCAGAGGGGAGGGGGAGCAGGGATGGACTGGGGGTGCGAGTTGTGCAAACCGGTCCAAACCAGTGCAAACCAGTCCAAACCAGTGCAAAGTGGTACAAACCAGTGCCCCAACCAGTGCTCAACCAGCCCCAACCAGTACAAAGCACTGCCCAAACCGGTACAAACCGGTAAAAAACGAGTGCAAAGCAGTGCAAACCGGTACCAACCAGTGCCCAAACAGCCCAAACCAGAGTCCAGGCAGTCCAAACCAGTGCCCAGGCAGTCCAAACCAGTGCCCGGGCAGCACACACCAGTGCAAAATGGTACCAACCAGTGCCCAACCAGTCCAAACCAGTGGCCAATCAGCCCAAACCAGTGCCCAGGCAGTACAAACCAGCACTCAACCAGCCCAAACCAGTGCAAAGTGGTACCAACCAGCGCCCAGGCAGCCCCAAGCAGTGCCCAGGCAGCCCCAAGCAGTGCCCAACCAGCCCAAACCAGTGCCCAAGCAGCCCAAACCAGAGTCCAGGCAGTCCAAACCAGTGCCCAGGCAGTCCAAACCAGTGCCCAGGCAGTCCACACCAGTTCAAAGTGGTACCAAGCAGTGCCCACCCAGCCCAAAGCAGTGAAAACCAGCCCCAGGCAGCCCCAGGCAGCGCCAGGCAGCCCCAGGCAGTGCCAGGCAGTGCCCAGGCAGCCGCAGGCAGCCCCAGGCAGTGCCAGGCAGCCCCAGGCAGTCCCCAGGCAGTGCCAGGCAGTGCCCAGGCAGCCGCAGGCAGCACCCACCGGCTGGTAGTTGATGGCCGGGCTCATGCCGGGCGTGGAGCTGCGGACCAGGCCGGGTTTCTGGGGCCCGCGCTGGCCCTGGAGCTGGGCGGGGCTGGGGGCGATGACGCGCTGGGACATCAGCATGTGGGGCAGGGCTGAGCTGGCGGCCGAGCGGATCACGCTGTGGCCCTGTGGGAACCCACGGGGGATCAGATGCCAGGAATCAGCTCTGGGATCGGCACAGCACAACCCCAAGCACCCCCCAGTGCTCCCTGAGCTCAGGAACAAAGTCATAGAAAAACGAGGGAAAGTTGAGCATTGATTCCCTGATCCATGGAATTCCTGCTTATCCACAATCCCAGTTAATCTCTAATGCCCCAAATCCTTTGTTTTTCCCCAAACTGTCCTGGATTTTACAGGACTGTGGTCCTTTCCCCAGCTCAAGCTGGCAGATCCCTATTTCCTGTGGGAGGCTGGAATTGCTCCAAGGAGAGCAGCAGAAATCCATGGAGCACACACTTCCAGTGTCTTCCCCTTTGGGAGCAGCAGGAAGGCTGCAGACCTTGGAGAATTCCCACCATCCTCATCCCACTCCAGCTGGACAATCAGAAGATCATGGAACATCCAGCTCCACAAGGATCACTGAGTCTAATTCCTGACAAACCCAAACCCAACCCAAGCACCACGAATTGAAGGAATTCCTCCACCTCTTGGAAAAAGCCCCTGGGCTCTGTGTGCCTCCACCAAAATCAGCATTCTCCAGGAGAAACGGGAACGCTCACCTGTAATGTCCTTAAATTCTGCGGCTCCACCCCCTGGGCTCCGGGCCGGGAGGGGATCTTGGACAGGCCCTGCTGTCCCACGTGGGCAGGGGACGGCTGCACGATGGACGCGGCGTTCTGGACAACGGGAGTCTGGGGGGCAGCAGGGAGAGCCAGATCAGCAGGACTCCACGGGCAGAGCCGTGGGTTTGTCCTCCCGGGGGGATTGGTGAGGGAACCCCAGAGGTGGAGTGAAGGATCCGTGTGCTCCTGTTATCCCACCCCTCACCTTCTGCACCACGTTCTCCTTCTGGAGCTGGCTCTGCCGCAGCTTCTTCAGGAGCACCAGCCGGGCCTCCTCCAGCCTCAGCTCGTCCCGGAGCTGCTTGATCAGCTGCTGCCGCTCCTCCAGGCTCTTCCCCTGGAAAACACCCCACACCGGGCAGGACGTGAGCAGGGGAGGGGGCAAAGCTGAGCCCGAGTGGGAATTCGGACCACGGCTGAGAGAAACGGGGGCCTGCACCCAGAACTTGCTGAGAAACGCCCTAAATCCTTCAGGCACCCCCAGCCCGTGCCCTTCCCGGGATGGAATTCCCGTTTCCTCACCTTGAACATCTCCAGGTTGGCCGCCTTGAGCCGCTCCTCCATGCGGGAGCTGGAGCGGGGGCTGGAGGCCTCGTTGTCCGACAGGACGATGATGTCTGGGGACGGGGTCAAGCGGCCCCGGTCCTGGTCACTGCAGGGGGAAAGGAATCCCACTGAACCCAAATCCGGGATCTGGGGAACCCCACTGAGCCAGAGTCTGGGATCTGGGGAGCCCCACTGAGGGGAGCCCCACTGAGCCACAATGTGGGGTTTTGGGAGCCCCACTGAGCCACAATGTGGGGTTTTGGGAGCAGGATCCCCCTCGTTCCAGCGCGGATCCGGAGCAGCGCGGCTCCCACAGACACCAGGAGGGAAGGGCTCCCTCAAAAGCCCTCCCTCACCCCCCAGGTCCCTCTCCAGGGGTGCAAATCCCACCTGGGAATCAGGTGGGAACCAGGAGCGTGTCCTGGGGCTGGGGTGGGAGGGAGTGGCAGGGATGCTCCAGCCTGGAATTGCTCATCCTCACTGCGGTGGAGAAGGGGCCGAGCCCCCCCGCTAAGGGCACCACTCCAAGCCTATCCCAAGCCAAATCTATTGGAAAAGCTCATTCCATAAAGGAAAACCTGCATGAATATCCAACTGATCCATGATGAGACTGGGAAACCAAAGGAGCAGCAGGGAAAAGAAATAAACCAAAAATCAGTGGTGGAGTCCAGCAGGATCCAGGATCATCCCGGGAAGGAGACTCCAAGAAAAGCTCTTTGCTGCCCTGGATTTCATTGCTGCTGCTGGAATGGAAAACTGTGGGATAATCCAGCATGGAGCAGTGGGAACGCCGGGCTCAGAGGTAATTCCAGCTCCCTGGAAGGTCCCTGGAGTGAGGGGAGAGCGTGGAATGTCTCATCCCAAACTGAGCTCTGAACAGCCAGGAGGGAGCCCAGAGCCAAATCCCAGCTCCCAGGGTGGGAAGACACTCAGAGCTGGGACTGCCTTCATCTCCCAAACATTCCAGCTGGTTTTGTGGATATTCCAAAGCGCCAGGGCACGGAGCAGCCCCTGCTCCAGCAGAGAAATTCCAGAGCATCCCAAGGAGAAGGAGCCAGTGGGAGCCCATCCAGAAAAAGCATCCCAGGAGCTCCAGACTGGGCTGGCACATCTGGACGGCACCTTCAGCTGTCCTAGAGCTCCCGGGGATCATTTGGCAGGAACACCCCAATACATCCAGGCAGGACTGCTGACATTCCACCAGGGAATAAGGCAGAGCCAGAGTCCAAATCCAAGAGGGAAAATGGATCCATCCATGAGGAATCAGCAGTTTTGGATTTCCTTTGTCCAGGGAAGAGCAGAATTCCAACAGAATCACTGGAGGAGGAGCCACGGCGAGGGAGGCAGGCAGAGGTGAGGAGAGGTGGAGCACATTCCCGAGGAAAATGCAGGAAAACGAGACATTCCCAGTCTCACTTCTCAACTCGGAGTGGAGCATTCCCAGCTCTTTCCAGGGCTGATTTCCTGGTCCAGGTGTCTGTGTGTGATGCTGGTGCCCCACTGGGAACCCTCACATTGCACAACATCCAAGGAATTCCGCTGAGGATGCAGCCCACGACTCCTCAGGGACACCTCCCCTCTCCCAGGCTGCTCCAAGCCTCGTCCAGCCTGGCCTCAGCCACTTCCAGGGATGAGAAATCCACAAATCCCCGTGCAACCTGTGCCACCCTCACAGGGAACAATTCCTTCCTCTGAGCCACTCCCCCTGCCACCCTCACAGGGAACAATTCCTTCCTGCTTCCTTCCTCTGAGCCACTCCCCCACATCCCACCATTCCCAAATCCCTCCCCAGCCCTGGGTGTCACCAGAACGGCCTCTCCAGGACGCCCCAAACCCCATTTCATTCCCAACCCGGCTCCCCCCACCCCGCCAGACCCCGGAATTCCCAGCACCCACCTCCTCCTGGCGCTCATGTCCACGGGCTCGTCGTTGATGTTCTCCTTGCCCGGCCGGGCCGCGCTCCGCCCGTCGCCGTGGGGCCGCAGGCTCCCGTTGAGCTTCTCCTCGTAGCCCTTGATCCCGTCCGGCTTCACCGGGAGCTCGTGGGGCACCTCCAGCCCCGCCAGGTCCTTGCGCTTGAGCAGCGCCAGCATCTTCAGCCTCTCCATGGCCTCGTGTCCCTCCATCTTCAGCCGCTTGGCCAGGACGTCGTCGCGCTCCTCCGCCGGCTCCAGGCTCCGCTTGAGCAGGTTCAGGCGCAGCGCGTCCTCCGTCATCCGGTCCATCCTGAGGGACAGGGACAGGGACACTGTCAGTGCCAAGGAGCCCCCAGGATCCCCCCCGAGCTCAGCTCGGCTTCCTCGGAGAGCTCTGATCTCCTCATGGAGCTCCGACCTCCAGGAGAGCTCCAATCTCAGAGACTCCGACCTCCAGGAGAGCTCCAATCTCAGAGAGCTCCGACCTCCAGAGAGCTCCAATCTCAGAGAGCTCTGATCTCCAGGAGAGCTCCAATCTCACAGAGCTCTGATCTCCTCATGGAGCTCCGACCTCCAGAGAGCTCCGATCTCACAGAGCTCCGACCTCCAGGAGAGCTCCAACCTCTTGGAGAGCTCCAATCTCACAGAGCTCCAACCTCCAGAGAGCTCCGATCTCACAGAGCTCCGATCTCACAGAGCTCCGATCTCCTCACGGAGCTCCCACCTCCCCAGTCCCCATCCAGGTCAGGAGTTTCCCCCTCTGAAATCCCTGAGAACAGCAGCACAATCCCTCTTTCAGGATTAAACCCCATGGATGCGGCTCAGCAAGGAAGGGGAGCTGGGATGAACCCCTCGGGAGCCCTGGAATGCCAGGAAATCCCCACCGCGGTTCTCCAGGCAGGAATGCTCGGCAGCTCCGGGGATGGAGGCTCGGGCAGGTCCATCCCCGCCCTCCCACCTCTCCTGCTCCCCCGCCTCAGCTCCAGGTGCAGGAATGCCCTCTGGAAAACAGGCAGGAGCCCATCCCAACCCCATCCCAAGCCTGGAGCCCATCCCAGCCCCATCCCAATCCCGCTCCCAGGCTGATAAGGAACCAGCTCCGACAACAAAGAGCCACGGGAGCTCCACCTGCAAACCAGCTGGGCGAGGCCTTTCCCTGCGGAGCAGGGCTGGGGACCAGCACAAACACCTGGGGAATAGGTGGGAATTCCATGTGGCCGGCCCGGGAACACCGGGAATCCCTTGCTCCGCAGGGAACAGAAAGTGTCCCTGCTCTGAGCGGCCGGAGCCGGGCACCTGGAGCTGCTCCACACCTGCCTGAAGCCGGCTCCGAGTCATGCCTGGGATAAACCCTCCCCGAGCCAAACTCCTGCCAGGAGAAGGCTCTGGCTCGGGTACAAACCCCTGGAATGACGCATCCCTCCATCGGCACACGAGCTCGGCTCCCGCTGGAGACAGCAGCAGCGGGGAGGGCAGCGGGCAAAGCCATGGAAATGCCAAATATGATGTGAAAAGAAGCCGGCCGAGGAGCACCGAGGGCTCTTCCCTACCTGCTCATCCCGTCTCTCCGCACGTCTCCCAAATTTAGCCCAGCAAGCCGGGACAGGCCGCGGGAGCTGCTCCCGCCCCCGTCCCGCAGGAGTGACCCCGGGGGGATCGGGGATGTTCCAGACACCCCGGGAGCGCTCGGAGCCGCGCCCAGCGCTGCGGCTGGAGCCGCTGGGAGCGCGCCAGCAGCCCGGGAGCGCGGCCAGGAACGGCACCGCTGGGAAGGAGACAGCAGGGCAAGGAGGGAGAGGGCCCCAGGACCAACATCCCGCTGGCCAGGAGCTCCCCACGGAGCCCTGAGCCCAGCACGGAGCTGGGATCCAGCACGGAGATCCAGCATCTCCCGGAGCTGGGATCCAGCAGGGAGATCCAGCGTCTCCGAGCTGGGATCCAGCAGGGAGATCCAGGATCTCCAGGACCAACATCCCACAGGACAGGAGGACAGGAGCTCCCCACGGAGCCTTGAGCCCAGCACGGAGCTGGGATCCAGCAGGGAGACCCAGGACCAACATCCCACAGGACAGGAGCTCCCCACGGATACCTGAGCTCAGCACGGAGCTGGGATCCAGCAGGGAGACCCAGGACCAACATCCCACAGGACAGGAGCTCCCCACGGATACCTGAGCTCAGCACGGAGCTGGGATCCAGCACGGAGATCCAGGATCTCCAGGACCAACATCCCACTGGACAGGAGCTCCCCATGGATACCTGAGCCCAGCACGGAGCTGGGATCCAGCAGGGAGATCCAGGACCAACTTCCTGCTCGTTCTCTCCAGGGGGTGGAAGGATCCCACCGGAATTCCAGAGACATCCCCCAGTCCCTGCTCCATCACCAAGGTGGTCTCCCAGCGCCCTCCCCTCTGGCATTCCAAACAAATCCAAAGTGCCGTTACCGGGAATGGGGCCCACCACTATTTAATCCACTCCAGAGGTTTTCCAGGCTCGGCCAGATCCAATAAAAATTAAATTCGGCTTCAGATTCGCTATTGAATGGGGCCCTTTGGCTGGAGGGGGAAGGGCCGGATCCACTGGGAATTTCCAGAGCGCTGGGAAAGCCAGGGGAGAGCTCCTGATTCCATCCAGAAATCCACAGCAAAGAGCAGGAATGACTGCAATCCCAGGAGCTGCTCTGGAGGTCGGGCAGGCAGCAGGATCCGTGCTGGCCCCGCTCCGGTCCCGGCACATCCCAAACCGGATCATCCGGCCCCGCCGCCCTCCGGCACGGCCCCGGGGGCTCCGCCACATCCCAGGGAACAGCCTCGGCCTCTCCCTTCAGCTTCATCCAAAAAAATCCTCCTCACTGCAACCAGATTCCCAAATGGTGGCAAAACCCCTGGAAAACAGGAGCTAAATCCACGGTGTGCCCCGGACTGGGATTATCCCTGGGAGCACCTGGGAGCCAGGGGAGAGCCAGGACTCCAGAGTGGGACGAGCAGGGTCGGCTGGACGGGCCTGGCTGACCTTGGAAGGCTTTCCAGGAATGCCAGTGTGTCCCCACAGCCCTTCCCAGCCTCCGTGGGGACGCTGCTCCCGTCCCTGCTGCGGCTCCACGCGCTGCCCGGCACGTTCCGCTGGCTCCGGGGCTGCTCCTGCTCCAGAGGGCCCGGCACGACGGGTTTGGAGTTCACAGGCAAACAAAGCAGCACCCCCTTTTCCATGGATGTTGGATGTGGCGCCCACAGGGGAAAATATCCAACAAAGAGAATCCTCAGCGGGAGGATTTGAAAGGCTGGAACGAGCGAGCTGGGCCAAAAGAAGGAATATTCCAGGAAGAAGTGGGAATATCCAGGGAGAGATGCAGCCAGGAGGGAAAACATCCCGGGATTTACCCGATGGAATCCAGAACCAAGACTCAGCAGCACTGGGAATTAATTCCAGGCAGAGTTGATCCAGGGAGGTCCCAGCCCCTTCGCAGCCTCCCTGGAGGGTTTTCCGTTGGGTCAATCCCCAGGTTGGCCTTCCAGTTCCAATTCCCAGGACCCTCCGGAGCTCATGGAGGGGTTGTAATTCCTGATCCAGCACGAGGAATTATTCCTGATCCACCAGGAGGGATCCCTGATCCTCCAGGAGGAATCACTGATCCCCCAGGAACAATCCCTGATTCCCCAGGAGGGATCCCTGATCCTCCAGGAACAATCCCTGATCCACCAGGAGGGATCCCTGACCCACCAGGAGGAATCCCTGATCCCCCAGGAACAATCCCTGATCCCCCAGGAGGGATCCCTGATCCCCCAGGAACGATCCCTGTTCCTCCAGGAGGGATCCCTGATCCACCAGGAGGAATCCCTGACCCACCAGGAGGAATCCCTGATCCCCCAGGAACAATCCCTGATCCCCCAGGAGGGATCCCTGATCCCCCAGGAACGATCCCTGATCCCCCAGGAGGGATCCACGTGCCCCCAGTGCCACGAGGTCTCCCCAGCACCCTCTGGTTTCCAGCCCCTCTCCAGCAGCGCTGGAATTCCGCTGAGCGGATCCCTGGGATCCAAGGCAGTGAGGATGGAAATCAGGGATAAACCTGCCCAGAGCCTGCTCTGCTCCTGGGGAAGCTCTGGAATTCCCAGGCAGAGGCAGCCTCAGGGGACACAGAGCACCCCCAGTCTCCATTTGGGGCTGGAATGCCAGAATTCATCCCAGAATCCAAACCCCTAAGGCTGCATCCCCGGGGGCTCCAGCACCATCCCGGGCACTCCAAACCCAGGACACCACTCGGATCTGAGACCGCTGGAATAAAACCCGTCCAAATCCAATTAAAGCCCCGTTTTCCCGGGATCAGGGAGCGGGAACCAGAGAGATCCAACTCCTGCAGCTCACCTGGGCGCGCTCCCGCTGCCTGGACCCCCCCAAATCCCAGCATCCGGCGTCAAGCCCGGCTGATCCCGTGGGAAATGCACAGGGCTGGCTCCTCATCCGGAGCCATCCGGCCCAAATCCTGCTCCAGGGGCTTCCCGGAGCCCGGCACGAGGCGGCTCCAATCCCATCTGGGCTCGGCACATCCCGACGCCGGCGTCGTAAAAGGCGTTCCGGCATGGAACACAAAATGGCTGGCTCCCAGGGCGAGCATTCCCAAGGAACGCCAGGAAAAGGATAATAACCTAAAAAGGTAATTAGGATTTAACGGCTCGGCGGCCGGGAGCGGGATCCGGAGCGGGATCCGGGAAAGGGAAGGGGAAAAAAAAGCTCCACGGCTGAACAAAACCCCTGCTGCTCCCGATCCTGCTGCTCCAGGAATCCCCAGAACAGCCGGCTCCGTGCAGGAATTCCGAGGCAGGTGAGGGAGGCTGAGATTTTCTCCGGGATTAAAGCAACACCCAGAACCCACAGGGACACGGCTGCTCCCGGGAGGGAACGGGAACACGGCGGAAGATTTGGGAAGGCAAACGGAAAGGTCGGGATGGGAGCAAGCCCTGGGATGTGGCAGAGTGGGAATTCCTGTGGAGCAAACTGCTCCAGGAGCTCTGCTGCTCCCGTTCCTGGATCCCAACACGGGGACAGCGGTGCCTGCTGCGACACACCGGTGCCAGAGCCTGGATATCCAGGATTCCAGATCTCCCAGAGCCTGGATATCCCAGATTCCAGATCCCCCAGAGCCTGGATATCCCGGCCTCCAGATCTCCCAGAGCCTGGATATCCAGGACTCCAGATCTCCCAGAGCCTGGATATCCAGGATCCCAGATCTCCCAGAGCCTGGATATCCCAGATTCCAGATCTCCCAGAGCCTGGATATCCAGGATTCCAGATCTCCCAGACCCTGGATCTCTCAGATTCCTCATCTCCCAGACCCTGGATCTCCTGGATTCCAGATCTCCCAGAGCCTGGATATCCCAGACCCTGGATATCTCAGATTCTGGATCTCCCAGACCCTGATCGCTCAGATTCCAGGTCTCCCAGACCCAGGATCCCCCTGATCCCGAATCTCCCAGACGCTGGATCTCTCAAATTCCAGATCTCCCAGACCCTGGATCTCCTGGATTCCAGATCTCCCAGAGCCTGGATATCCCAGACCCTGGATCTCTCAGATTCTGGATCTCCCAGACCCAGGATCCCCGTGATTCCGAATCTCCCAGACGCTGGATCTCTCAAATTCCAGATCTCCCAGACCCTGGATCCCCTCAATTCCAGAACTGCCAAACCCTGGATCTCCCAGACCCTGGATCTCTCAGGTTCCAGAACTCCCAGACCCTGGATCTCCTGGATTCTGGGTCTCCCAGACCCAGTTTATGTCCCAGACCCTGGATCTCTCAAATTCCAGATCTCCCAGACTCTGGATCTCTCAGATTCCAGATCTCCGGGAGGGGGCAGCAGGCGGCCGGGGCCGGCCGGGGCCCCGCGCTCCATCGCCCGCCGAGCCGCAGCCGCAGCCCGAGCCCGAGCGGGCCCTTCCCTGCCAATCATGCGCGTTCTGTTTTATTAAACAAAAGAAAAGGGGGATGCTGACTTTTTCCCATGATGCCTCGCGGGGCAGGGAAAAAGAGAAGGGAGAGGGAAAAAAAAAAATAAAAAAAAAGGGAATTCAGATTCCAGATCTCCCAGACTCTGGATCTCTCAGATTCCAGATCTCCCAGACCTGGATCTCCCGATTCCGGATCTCCACCCCCAGCTCGGGATGTCCTCAGATTCTGCAGCTCCGGGTCAAGTACAAAACGAACAATGGGAAGCAGGAAAAGCGGGAAAGGAGGAAAATCCTCCCCCCCAAGAAGTGCTTCCCTTCCCTCCTAAGTTTGTGTTCTTGTCCAACTCCATTCCTCGGGAGCAGGGAATGCCGGGGCCACGGCCTCACACCTCGTCCCACCCCAGGATTTTTGGGATGTGGGAGGAGAGCAGGAATTCCAGAAGCTGCTTTATGCCTTGAAACGAGGGGCAAAAGACCCCAAAACCCCACAAAGTCTTAAACGAGGGCTAAAAAATTGCAGGCCATCCAGCGGGGACGGCCCGTTTTGGGAAAATCCAGCTGGGAAACGCTCCGGGAAAATGAAATGCAATAAAAAAAAGGATGGGATGGAGGGGGGGCAGGGAGAGGCCGGCCCCGGCCCCCTCCCCATCCGGGATGACGCAGACTTCCCAGGCTCCCTTATATAACGCTTCCCCATTTCCTCGACTGCGGGCGCTGCCTTTGTGCGGCTCCGCCGGGGCCATCGATCACCGATTAACGATCCAATCGATAATTAAATCCAGCACCACCGGGAAGCGTGGGGCGGGGGGGGACAGGGATCCGAGGGGTTCCGTTATTGCCGGTGTTTCTGTCGCCCCTCCAGCCGGAGGGAGGTGGGATTGGAGCACGGTGGGAGCATGGGTGAGGTGGGGAATGGGGGAGGGAAGGCAGAAGGGAATCACGACAGCAAATCCCAGCACCAGCGCTCGTTTTCTCCTCAAAACACTCCCTCGAGACATTCCCAAAAATCAAAATAACGCTAAAAAAACCAACAACAAAAAGCGCAGCAAAGCAGCTGGGCTCGTCCTCAAGGAACCCTTTTGTCCGCTCCGAATTGCCGACAAACCCCGGCACGGTCCGAGGGATACTTACAGCTCCAAGATTCCCGCGGCCTCGAGTTGCCAGGAAAAGCGGGGAGCAGCTCGGGGGGGTTAAAAAAAAAATTTGAATGAAAAAAAAAAAATTTAACAAAAAAAAGAAGGAAAAAAAGAAAAATTCCGGTCGTGACCGGTTTGGCATCTCCCGACATGGAACTGGCTCCGGATTTTGGGGGGGGTTAATTTTTTTCCTGGGATTTCGGCGCTGGCGCGGCCGCCCCCTCCCCGCTCCCCCTCCCCCCTCTCCGCCGCCGCTTCACTTCCGCCAAACTTTGTCTTCATTCATGGAAGCTCCTTCCCTCCCCTGGAATTTTAACTGTTTCCCTCCCGAAACGGAGGCTCGGGGCCGCCGGGATCCGCCCCTCCCGCTGCCCAAAAAGCCAAAAAACCGAGGTGGGGTCCGGCGGCAGAGCGGCCTCGGGACCCCCAGCCCACGGAGGGGGAGGCCGAGGGTGGAGCGGGGGTCCGGGGATGGGCAGGGATGGGCCGGGGGTCCGGGGATGGGCCGGGGGTCTGGGGATGGGCCGGGGGTCCGGGGATGTCCCGGGATGTCCTGGGGGTCCTGGGACGTCCCAGGGATCCCAGAATGTGCCCAGGGATCCCAGAACGTGCCCAAGGAATCCAGAATGTGCCCAGGGATCCAGGATTGGGCTGAGGGATCCAGGAATGTGCCCAGGATCCCAGGGAAGTTTCCCGGGAGCGGGGGTCCGGGGATGGGCAGGGATGGGCCGGGGGTCCGGGGATGGGCCGGGGGTCCGGGGATGGGCCGGGGGTCTGGGGATGGGCCGGGGGTCCGGGGATGTCCCGGGATGTCCTGGGGGTCCTGGGACGTCCCAGGGATCCCAGAATGTGCCCAGGGATCCCAGAACGTGCCCAAGGAATCCAGAATGTGCCCAGGGATCCAGGATTGGGCTGAGGGATCCAGGAATGTGCCCAGGATCCCAGGGAAGTTTCCCGGGGATTTGGATGAAGATGCCAGGGACTGTGCCCAGGGATCCCAGACCGTGCCCAGGATCCCAGAATGTGCCCAGGGGTCCCAGGGAAGTTTCCCAGGGATGTGGACGAAGATGCCAGAGAAGATGCCCAGGGATCTGTGATTGTTCCCAAGATCCCAGAACATGCCCAAGAGATCCCAGACTGTGCCCAGGGATCCCAGGGAATGTGCCCAGGGATCCCAGAATGTGCCCAGGATCCCAGACTGTGCCCAGGATCCCAGACTGTGCCCAGGGATCCCAGAATGTGCCCAGGGATCCCAGGGAAGTTTCCCAGGAATGTGGGTGAAGATGCCAGGGAAGATGCCCAGGAAGATGCCCAGGGATGCCAACGAAGACGCCAAAATCCCAGCAAAGGGAGCAAGGGCAGCGCTGCAGAGATGCTCAGGGACGTGAGGAAGAGGCCGAAGGGTCCCAGCAAAGATCCAGGAGCAGCTGAAGGTCCCTGAGGAGATGCTGAAGGATCCCCTGGAAGATGCCCTGGGAAGATGATGCCCTGAAGATGCCAAGGAATGCTGAAGGGTCAGGAGGGGCTGGGAGGTGCCACCAGTGCAGGAGGAGGAGGAGGATCAGAGGGATTTTTGCTGTCCCAAACCCCCAGACCCAGCTGAGCTGCTCCCAGAGGAGCCCAAAGGCCACCCCGGGTCCCCAGGGCTGGGGTGACCCCAGGAGGGACAGCAGGAACAGGGTGGGCACAGGTCTGGGCCTCGTTAAGGAATTAACGAGCGCTTGGAGCGTTCGCCACCGAGAAGCCAGGAGATGGAGAAGCCAGGGGTGGAAAACACGGTTTGAAACCCAAACACGGCAGGGTGAGAGCGGATATTTGGAATTCTCCAGCCAGAGGAACATCCCTGTCCCCATCCCAGCACTGCCCGCGAGGTGCTGAGGGCCTGGCACGGGTTATCCCGGGAATCTGAGCCTGCCCATCCCTGAAGAGCCCAAATCCAGGCTGGACAGGGCCTGGAGCAGCTAAAGGTGGCAAATTCCCCCAAAACACCCCAAAAATCCATAATCCCACCATCCACGGCTTTATTCCCCCCCTGAGGTGTGGGAGCCTGGGAATTCCGCAGCATTCCAGCACTGGAACCCCCCAGTTCGCCTTCATTGGATAAAATGGAACCATTTGGTTTCCAAAGGGGGAAAGGATTAATTAGCTTTAATTGCATGCTCGTTTCCATGGATTTATCAGCTAATGAGGGGGTGGGATGGGCCCGGGGATGATTTATTCCAGGCTGTGTCCGTGGAACACGCAGAGGGCACGGGAGAGCAGCAAATCCCTTTCTTCCCCCATTCCCTGCTTTTTCAGGACCACGCCAGGCTCTTCCCATCCTCCCATCCCTGGTTTTGGGAAGGGATGGAATCCTCTCGGGGAGGGTGATCCCCCCCATCCCTGGCTTTGGGAAGGGATGAGATTTGGGAAGGAATGAGATTTGGGAAGGGATGGAATCCTCTCGGGGAGGGTGATCCCCCCCATCCCTGGCTTTGGGAAGGGATGAGATTTGGGAAGGAATGAGATTTGGGAAGGGATGGAATCCTCTCACTCAGGGAGGGTGATCCCCCCCATCCCTGGTTTTGGGAAGGGATGGAATTGGGAAGGGATGAGATTTGGGAAGGGATGGAATCCTCTCGGGGAGGGTGTCCCCCCCATCCCTGGCCCCCATCCCAATGGATGCTCCGACCTTCCCAGTGGATGCTCCCAGCCAGGATGGGCAGAGGAAGTGCTAAAACATCATTTAATTGGATTTTTTGGGGGGTTTTCCCTATGGATTCATTCCCCGGGAGCTTCTGTTTCCTGGAAAGGTCTTGGAGGAAGTCTGACCAGAGCTCCTTTTATTCATCCAAAGGATCCCTGGATCTTCTCCACTAAACAGAGAATTCCTGGATCCAGTTCCCTCCTCCTGAACCGAGAGCAACCCCAGTCCAGCCCAGGCTGACACCCAGGAAGAGATTCTGGGAAAATGAGGATGCCAAAGCAGGGAAAGGGATGATTCTTCCCAAATTTCTGCACTTGGGAAGAGATTCTGGGAAAACTGGAGGAATGAGATTTGGGAAGGGATGGAATCCTCTCGGGGAGGGTGATCCCCCCCATCCCTGGTTTTGGGAAGGGATGGAATTGGGAAGGGATGAGATTTGGGAAGGGATGGAATCCTCTCGGGGAGGGTGTCCCCCCCATCCCTGGCCCCCATCCCAATGGATGCTCCGACCTTCCCAGTGGATGCTCCCAGCCAGGATGGGCAGAGGAAGTGCTAAAACATCATTTAATTGGATTTTTTTGGGGTTTTCCCTAGGGATTCATTCCCTGGGAGCTTCTGTTTCCTGGAAAGGTCTTGGAGGAAGTCTGACCAGAGCTCCTTTTATTCATCCAAAGGATCCCTGGATCTTCTCCACTAAACAGAGAATTCCTGGATCCAGTTCCCTCCTCCTGAACCGAGAGCAACCCCAGTCCAGCCCAGGCTGACACCCAGGAAGAGATTCTGGGAAAATGAGGATGCCAAAGCAGGGAAAGGGATGATTCTTCCCAAATTTCTGCACTTGGGAAGAGATTCTGGGAAAACTGGAGGATGATAAAGTAGAGAAATGGAAGATTTTTCCCAAATTTGTGCACTCAGGAAGAGATTTTGGGAATACTAAAGGATGCCAAAGCAGGGAAGGGGATGATTTTTCCAAACTTTGTGCACTTGGAAAAGATTTTGGGAAAACTGGAGGATGGCAAGCAGGGAAATGGATGATTTTTCCCAACTTTGCATACTTGAAAAGAGATTCTGGGAAAACTGGAGGATGACAAGCAGGGAAAGGAATCATTTTCCCCAAATTTGAGCATACAGGAAGAGATTTTGGGAAACTGGAAGATGCCAAAGCAGGGAAATGGATGATTTCCCCAACTTTGCCATCCAAAGGGAATCCAAAGCTGGCTGATCTCACTCAAGGAGGCTCCACCACAAACTCAACGAGGCCCAGGACACGAGCAGGGGGAATCCACGATCCCATTCCCACGGATTCCTCCCACCCCCAGCAGGATGAACCCCCAGAATTTGGGATTCCCATCCCAATGCCATCCCAATGGACAGCAGAGCCTCTCCCACCCAAACCCAGCAGCTCCAAGTCCCCAGCCCAGCAGCTCCAGGTAAAACCAGGCAGCTCTGGGATCTCCTCATCCTCCCACTGAGGCCATTCCCTGGGAAAGCAGGCCTGGGAATCCTCCAGCTCTGCAGGAATTCCTGCAGGGAACAGCCAACCATCCCACACGGAGGTGCTGGGATTGGTCAGGGCTCCGGGGTTTCACTGGAATCCAGGATTTAGTGAAGAGGAAAATCCAGAAGGACCACGGGGCCCTTTTCCCTCTCGCAGAACTCCCCACTGTGGAGGCAGCACAGGGAGGATGCTGGGGTGTGTTTGAGGAGCAGGGAATTCCCCACGGACACGGGGGGAGCTCCTCCCCCTGCACCCCTCATCCCCGAGTGAGCTGGGACTGGGAGCAGCCGAAATTCCCAATCCTTCCTCCAGCCCAGGGCCCAAGGTGGAGCATCGGCCTCCAAATCCCCTGGGGATGCTGTGGGAAACAGCCCCAGCAGGTTTTCCAGCCTGGATTTCCCTAAAATCCAGGGTCTGGGGAGCACCTGGAGCTCTGCTCCTGGAGTTTGGGGCATTTTAGGTGGATTTGGGGGAACTTCTTGCTTGTACCCAAAAATGGATGCAGGGAGGGATGACAAGGAGCAGCCTCCCCTTCCCACAGGGACACAAGGCTTTGGCTCAGTCTCATCCCAAAAATACCAAATTCCACGCATCCATCTTCTGAGATTCCATGAAAATGAAGCCCAAATTTCACTGGGAAAAACACAGCAGGCGTGGAAAACTCACACAAATCCAACTCTCCCCTCTACCCTGAGGACTCTGAAATGGGACAATTGCAGGATCCAGCCCCAAAATCCCTGCTCACACCTCACGGAGTGGAACCTGTGGAGCAGGGATGGGACAATTGCAGGATTCAGCCCCAAAATCCCACTCACACCTCACAGAGTGGAACCTGAGGACTCTG